ATATGTATGTATGTATATTCACCTTTACTATTTGTTCCCATTTTAAATTTCTAACTTCTAAATTTATTTTGAAATAACTTCTCTATAAAATAATTAACTATTCTCATTTCTAATTTACTTCTAAAATAAATTTAAAACTTTAGAAAACTTAACCTGGCCATAATTTAGTTGTATTCTTTGCCCAATTATTTTTTTATTTTTCAGCATAAGAAAATACAATATCGTACAACATCAAATTAGCCAATCTGAGTCTTCCACGTGCCACCCGCCTATTGAATTGTTCACAGACTGTGAGGTATCTTGAGCAGCGGAGCGTGTTCACACCTGAGCGTCCTATTTCCATCTTGACAAAACGCCTTCCATCTGCCCAATATGACCGGGCAATTTCGTAATTAGCCTCTCCCCTCTCTTCCTAAGTACGAACACAATCACTACCGTTGAAACGTCATCGCACGATCACGGCAGCGGCGAGCCACCAGACTCTTCGCTAATGCAAGCTTTGATTGGGTATAAAAGTAGCTGCTAGTGGCTGGTTTGAGCGCGTGGGGGTCATCGTTCCCTGCTGTGCTCTTTTTCTTCGCAACGGTAGCTGGGATCCGCCTCCCAATCGCCAAGCAATGGTGAAGTCATACCCGATGGTGAGCGAGGAACACCTTAAAGCGGTTGATAAGTGTCGGAAGAAGCTCCGAGGTTTCATCGCCGAGAAGAACTGTGCTCCGCTCATGCTTCGACTGGCGTAAGACTGCGAAGGCCGCCTTGCCGGAGTTCTATTTGCTATATCTATTTATTTTTGGGGATTTTGTATTGATTTTTTGTTGGTTGGGTGATACAAACAGTTGGCACTCGGCTGGGACGTACGATGTCAAGACGAAGACGGGAGGGCCGTTCGGGACGATAAGGCACCCGGATGAGCTTGCACACGGGGCGAACAACGGCCTTAGTATCGCTGTGGGGTTGCTGGAGCCGATCAAGGAGCAGTTTCCGATCCTTTCGTATGCCGACTTCTACCAGGTGTGGTTATCTGGTTGCTTTGTTTCACTATTGAGTGAGTGTATAAGAGCTTCTTTTGTCTCTCCTGATTGTTTTGGCGACTAATCTGCTTATTCTCTCTTGTAGCTTGCTGGAGTTGTTGCTGTTGAAGTCACTGGTGGACCTGAGGTTCCCTTCCATCCCGGAAGGGAGGTAAGCATCCTGATCTTCTTATTTATGTTTTATATGATTAGTTTGTTTTTATCTATTTTCTTTTAGTATTTAGTTGTAAATTCATTCGATTTTCAGTTAGTTTATTTCCATTTATAGAGTTCTGGCGGATCACGTGGTGATCGAGTTATTAAATTATAAAATGGTTGGGTTGGAATGTGTGATTTTTTTAACTTTAATGTTCGATGTCCTTTGCTCAACTTCCCTATAAATCGCATTCTGTTTTTGCGGCCTATTTTGTCTAGTTTGTAAACCTTATAATTCATTTTTTT